AGCCCGGAAGACCCACACCAGCCATCGTATGCCGGCCGTGAAAGCCTTCGACAATACATACCAGATTATGCTTCATTTTCTCTAGAAGACTATGGTTCTCCCATCTTTTTTTCCTTTTTGCTAGTAAAACTAGCTTGTGGATGGATGTTTTAAAAAGTGGATTTTCAATTAACTGGGCTGTTCAGCTATAGAAATGCAAAGTAGTATGATACACACTTGAAGTTGCAGTATAGAATCAAAATCTATTATCAACAATTTCCTGTGATTCCAGGAAGGAGTATTGCTCTATTCCCAGCATCTCTGTTGTGAAACAAAGCTATATGTTTCTTGGTGTCTCTCAGTTCAAAGCCCTCTTCAGCCACTGATGTGAAAATGTGAATGCTGCAGTCAACATAGGGTGGTAGATGTGTACAGTGTCCTCTCTTTCTGTGTCTTTCCTGCATGCAGGCTCAGCTCACACTCAGTATGAGAACTTGTAGTGTTGAGCACAATGAAGGGGACTGCCATCCTCATTCAGTAGAGCTCGAGGAGAACATTCCTCAAGTCTGCAGACACTGATAAAATAAAATGTATGATTGTATGGATAAAAATGGGGATAGAGAAGTAGAATCCTTCTTGGAGTGTATCACTAGCTTGTACCCTGGTCTGGACCAATCAGAATAGGGGAGAGGACATGCTGCATCATTTTTTATTAGGTACTCTTGTAACCAGTCTTTTACAGTTGGTCTGTCTAATCCAGTATTATTTATCTGCTCTGGTTGGACCATCAGTGGTAGATCTGTGAAAAAAGATCATATTTTGCTCTGTGTTTTCCTACGTTATATCATGAAATCTTCATTCTTGGGCTAGTGAGTCAGATGCTCTACATTAAGGAACTCTTTTTGTTCTGGATGTAGCAATGACAAGAGTAAATATATTGAAACTAGAGGGGAGGAGTCTTTTTCCTACTTACCTAACCTAAATAGTTGTGTGACAGCTCTTGTCTTCCTTCCTCTCTGTTACTGGACTACCCAGTTCCTTCACAGTCCTTCAAAATGTCTCTGCAGATTCTATACTGCTAGCCTGTTTAGAGATGGGAGGAGCAACAGAAAAAGCCAGTAACAGTTTCCCAAAATCTAGTGCCTTCCTCCTGTTAGACAAAAGTCCCCGTCATTTCCATCCATTGCAGCCCCAGCCACTCTAGTGGAGTGCAGTTATAATTCAGCAGATGTGAATGCTGCCAAATTTGGGAAGGCTGCTGTAATTCTTTAAACTTTAGGCCAAGTATGAAGTTGAATATTCTGATATACAGTTATAGATAAACAGGGGACAAACTGATTAGCAAAATAGAAATGATCAGGTTGGAATATTTAAATTCTGTGGTTCTAAAAATGGCATTTGACATTTTTATCCCCTCCCTTTTTTCCCTAATAGAAATAGATCTGCATACAAAATGTGTGATAGATGTGGATACAAACAAAGTTATTCTTCATCCTGTGAACACTAACCTTTCAAAAGGAGATGCTCGGTAAGTTCTTTTCTTTTCTTTTCTTTTCTTTTCTTTTCTTTTCTTTTCTTTTCTTTTCTTTTCTTTTCTTTTCTGAAAGAGACAATATGTTTTTAAAGAAAGAAACATTGTGACAAAGTGTGGGTAGGGAAATTGAAGAGTCTCTTTTGCGGGAAGAATCTCATTTCTCAGTAAATTGACATGGTTACTACAATTTAAAATGAGTGTCATTGTGTTCACTCTTATTTGTATAAATAGTTGAAAATATATTCCAGCAAAACATAGCTTTTCTGTGGATTTGTTTATCTAAGAATCTCCTACTGCAGAGTTACTCACAGGCATACATTATTACTCTTTTCAGTGTGAGAAGGCTTGGCTCAAATACCATCTTATGTGAAAGTAATTTATTTGAAGATTAAAGCACATTAGTTCCTCTGAATGGTGAACGGCTGAATGCAGCAGGTTGGACAAGGCATAGGTTTCATTGGAAGACAATGGATAATGTGTTGTTTTTATGGACTCTGACATAAAGATATTTTCTGAGTACAGGAAGATAACTAGAACACTGTGATGAGTGCATTTATTTCTATTTCCTTGGCTTAGTGCAAAGTGGCATAACTTCTGACCCAAGTTAAACATATCTGATTAGATCTACTACTAATTTCCTGGTCATATATTGTGGCCTCCTAATTGATTGATTGATTCATTAATTTCCTCATTAATGGCTGATTAACTAATTCCAGATTACAGCGAAACCATATTATCTTGAATCCCTAACTGATCTCTGCAGTGGTTTGATTGCAGTAAGGCTTGGCAGGTTACGAGCTCTTTGCGCTTACGCTGTGGGAATAAAAAAATAGGGAAGAAAAGAAGAATGGGAAAAACAACATGTTAGAGGTAGCAAAGATGTATTGAAGATCATGAAGTGAAGTGATTCAAACTCTGGATAAGGAATGGAGAAGAAAGTAATACAATGTATGTGCTGCTTTAGCACATATTAATATTAATAAGTGCCATTCTAAATAGTAACAAAATTCTACTTGAGCTTTCTTGGGCTACACCAGAAGATTTTAATTCAACACATGTAAAAGGTTCTACTTTGAGGAAGACTATTATACAACTATAGTAAAACTACTATAGAACATATAATTATTGTTATTCATTTTAAATATATCTTTCTTCACGTTCAGTGAGAACATGTAAAACAGAGATCCCTAACCTTTTGGGGCCAGTTGGTGCAGCTTCAAAAATGGCTACAATACTGAATATGGCCAGTCACAAAATATCCATTTACATGAGGGAAATTGTGAAGTTCCTCCCCACCTCAACTTACATTTTTTCTGGGCAGATGGGCCTGCTTCCAAAGGACGAATGTTCTCTATAGGGTTTGTGTGAGACACAGAACCATATTAGGAAATGAATAAGATGCACAAGGCCGGTACTTTGTTACAGCATGCTCACTTCCTATCTAAGTTTTTAAAACATATATACATACATGTACACACAAACACACACATCATACTCCCTTTGGGAGTAATCAACTTATGCAAAATGCAGAAACAAAGTAAGAAATGATAAGCCAAAGAAATTAAGGTCATAGATGAGAAACAAAAGGAAACGCTGCTAAATCTTCTTTACACCAACCAATTTGCTATACTTCTCCACATCTTTCTGTCTTTACAAACCCCTGGGGAGCATGTCCATACACCAGTTTGTAATCTTCCTCTGTCCTTTGAATCTCTCTTCTCTCTCTTGAGGATCTCATCAACTCTATCTAATCATAGCTTTCTTAGTTCTCTTTTTTCTTTCAACACATTCACTCACCCTCCATATATTTATTTTGTGATTTGATCATTTTCTCTATATGACCAGGCCAACTCAATATATTTCATTCATATTGGTCACTCACTTTTGTGATCACATTCATTCAGCATCCATCCATTCATGCTTGACTTGATTCTGTTTCTTCTTTTCCCACACATACTTCTTAAATAATCCATTCCCATTACATTCAGTTTATTTTCATTTTTCTCTTGACTTATGCCACTTTTATTTAAATATAACAAAATTAATAGAAGCATACGCTTTTACATAGCTATTGTCACTTCATCCTTTTGTGGTGATCATAATCTTATATGGCTTTTTCCTCATCTACAGCCTCACCATTCACCTGAGCACAACATGTAACTATCACTAGCCACTGGCTCATACTTTCTGACATACATTTTAGCCCTTTTATGAAACCTACGCATTGATTGATTGATTGTATTTATGCACAGCTGACTCCAAAAGAACTCCCAGCAGTTTATAAAATTGGAATAAAACCATTAAAAACAGTTCAAATAAATATAAATACCCATGGTTTCCATAAAATATAACCATGTCCAGTTCTAAAAATCATAAATACTTAACCAATTAAAAGCTCTGCAGAAAAAAATTGGTTTTGACCCCCTTTCCATTATAATTAAAGAAAACACTATCTGGATCTCTGAGGGCTGTTCCATAAAACTGGAACACAACAAGAAAAACATTTCTATAAGGCAGCTCCACAGAATTTTGGTCAGTGCAAGTTATGAACCTCAGTTTACATATCAGTACTTTATAATGTTCACTGCTGCCTCTCACAAAAGCATCTCAAAAATAAATTGTATAATACAAGAAAACAGATATATTTCCTAGGTGCCCCTTCATGAAGTAAGCTGCCCAATTTTAGTGTGGTAATGTCTGAGCTGTGTACTAATGCTGTTTCAGCTTCTTTCTAAGTAGATGTTTTGAAAGTTGAAGACAGGTATGATGTATATCTGTAGTGGCAGAAATAAAAACAAAGACCTACAGTCAAGCCTGTGTATACTGTGGTTTTGTATAACTGAAATAGTATGAAATTTGCAGAAATTAATGTATCAGTCTTTTTTTTAATTAAATCTAGATTTTAAGCCCATATGATTCTTGTCTTATCTTAGAATCAGATAAAACATGTAGAATCACATAAAATATGTAAAATATGGTACCATATAAATGCTTAATTTGTATGATTCTTGCAGTCTATAGGGTTTCTATTGATGCTATTCTTCTTTGTTTTGTTTTGGTGCCTTCAAGTCAGTCTTGACAACTAGTGATTGCCTGGACAAGTCCCTGCAGCTTTCTTGGCAAGGTTTTTCAGAAGTGGTTTGCCATTGCCTCCTTCCTAGGACTGAGAGAGAGTGACTGCCCCAAGGTCATCCAGCTGGCTTCATGCCTAAGACTAGAACTCACAGTCTCCCCGTTTCTAGCTTGGTGCCTTAACTACTACACCAAATTGGCTCTCACTTTTTTGGGGTAGTGTAATCTAAATTCAGTACTATGCCTTCTTGTGGATCAAGTGGCAGATTTTAATAAACAATTCTGAAGGCTAAGGAATACATCTTTCCACATGAAATTCCTTTAGAAATAAAAACTAACAGCTATAGTCATTGTAAGAGGAGAGCCATATTTGTCTAAGGCAGCCAAAAATCAGGAGTCTGACAGCACTTTTTCCAACTAACAAATTCTATTAAAAGATATCAGCTTTCATTAACTAAAGCTCAGTTCATCCAATGCATAGAGTGGGCAAAGTGATGTAGGATTTAAACTGGAGTGAGATCGGAAGGGGAAAATGGTGGGGGAAGACAGGGTGGTTATGCAGATCCAGGGTGTATGTGAAACAGTTAAAAGTGGCTTATTAATTAGCAATTGTAATGTGTTAAAAACTCATTAAATGTGTTGAGACCTTATGAGATGGCCTGAAACCTTTTAATGCTGGCAAATCTCTCCCTCAATTTATTGTGCTGGTAAAATTTCTTCCTACCAAAACTGTAATGAAATGTCCTGGGAGATTGAAATGCTCTGATATTACTTTGTCCTTGTTTTGAGTCCTGGTGTCAAATTTGTGTCCATTAGCCCTTTTGTGCAGAGCCTGGCTTATTTGTCCTTCATAGAATTTGGAGGAGCATTGCTGGCAGACGATGGCATTTATCACATGAGGGCACCTCTAATCTTGTATGTGAAGTTTCTGGGGCCTGTGATGGTGCTATTGGTGTCAGTGTGAAGGCAAAGTAGCCAGAAACTGAGAGTCATGAAATACAAACAGAATTGAATCCAACTTACTCATGGAGAACTCTTGAAGAGTGTGTTTCCCATGTCTGAATTCTTAAGCTGATCCTGTACTTTGGGCAGCCCACTTTGGCAGCAGATGTCTACCCAAATCTCCGAGAAGCCCTTTTACATAGGGAAAATTTCAATCCTACTAAAGGGTATTTCTACTCTGGAATTGCCAATGTGTTTTGTTCTTCCTAGCCACTGCCATTATATGACTGCCTAGCAAAGATTCTCTCTGTTGCAGGTGAGGAGTCAAGGAAGATGGAGGAAGGAGGCAAATTTGTGAACAGCTGGCAGCAGTTCACATCATTTCTAGAAGTTATTGGCAGGCAGGAATAGGACCATAAACTTTCTCTTCAGTTTTTTGGACCTTCTTAAGTTCCACTTCTTTATTGCTAGGTTTTAGACTGGATATTCCTGTTCTTGCTGGGAAATCACTGTTTCGTGTACCTGTATTGCTCCCCAAAACAATAAAGGGAAGTTTCTGGCAGACAAGACAGACTAAACACCATTTAGTTCTTGACCAATTATTATAAAGCCATAACAACAAAAATTACTGTTTCTGAGTTTGTTTAAGCAGAACTGCTAGTATGAGAACCATTGGCAGCAGTGGCAAAACATGTAATTACAATTCATGGCTCAGGGAGAGTGGGTGTCCAGCTGAGTAATGCCATGTTTGCACTAGAACTTTCACTTCTGTCAGCTAAGTCTGCTTACTTAAGCGCTGAGCAAAGTTCATGCATCTAGATCAAGATCACAAGGTTGGTTGTATGCCTCGAACTTTGACAGCCAGCCCACTTTTTAAGTAAATAGCCTGAAAGCTCCAGTGTGGATTTGCAAAGCCTCAGGGAACGTTGCTGTTATTGTGAAAGAGATCAAACTTATGGCACGAAATGCAGGAGAGCAGG